ATGGCAAATACAATTCTCTCACCAAAATCACGGCTACACAAGTGGAAGGAGACAACTGTGGCAGAGATGTACCTGTTTTTTACCACAATAATGCTTATGCCACATGTGTATAAGCACACTGTCACCACATACTGGGCAACAGAACGCCTAAATTTCAACTCCAGGTTTTATGACATTATAGGTGTAAATTCGTTTCCTAAATACTTTTTACGTATGTTACACTTTTCAGACAAAACCAGGCCTGACAGAACCGACAGGTTATATAAGATCAGAAGTGTGTTTATGTACCTGAAACAAAAGTGCTGCATGTATTTTTATCCCTCAGGAAGCTTGTTTTGATGAGTCCTTGATTTTATTCAAAGGAAGACTCTCATTCAAGCAATATATACCAAGCAAGAGGAAACGCTTTGGTATAAAGCTATTTGTACTGTGTGATTGCAGGAGTGGTCTAGTTTTGGATATCATTGTGTACACTGGCAGAAAATACTTTGAGAGATACCATGAAGTTATTGGGTATCTCTGGTGATGTGGTTCGAACAATGAGGAACCATATCTTGGTAAGGGCATATGTTATTTACTGATAACGGGTACACAAGCCCCTTACTCAGTGATTTCTTGTGAGTGAACTTGACAGACGTGTGTGGCACAGTGCGTGGTAATCGTAAACATATGCCAAGGTTCAACGCTGGCACTCGCAGAGGGGGAGGTGCAAGCCTTTGCTGCCAATGACATCATGGCATTTCGTGGCATGACAAACGTAAATGTCACATTGTTGACATCAGTTCACACAAACAAATGGTACCCAGTGGCAGGGACAACAGAGAGACCAAAGAACCCATTCTAAAGCCTGCAGCTTTTCATGGACTACAACCTCAATATGCGCTTAGTGGACAAATGTGACATGCAGATTGGTTTGCAGACTGTACGCAAGAGTTATAAGTGGTATATAAAACTTTTTTTCCATCTTGTTGATATCTCTATGCTAAATGCTTATAACATATACAAGTTGAAGACCAAACAAAACACCAAAATATGGTGAAATTTTGCCAGTCAGAAAACAGACAAATAATTGCAAAGTACCAAAGGGGCAACTCCTGCCATAGACCAGCGCCCCCAGACGTCATCTCGTTTGAGGCCTGGTGATCACTACCCCATACAACTGCTCCTACTACTGCCAAGAAAAATGCTCAGAAGAGGTGTTATTATGTATGCAACCACAAAACACCCACAAACACGCAGAGACACTCGTTTTATGTGGGGAGGAGTGTGAAGTGCCCCTCTGCATATACCCATGTTTTCAAAGAGTTCCACAAGCTGCAGCAGTTCTAGGAACGTGTTTAGTGACTGTACAATGTATATATATTATGGAACAATAGTAAAAACATTGTTTTGTATTGTTTTTTTGTGTAAACAAAGTGTATACACAAACTAATAGTATAAAGTTTGTTCTGTTATTGTGTTGTAAAACAATGAGTGTATATTTTTGAAGAATGCACCTTACATTTGGGCTCACAGGCACATAAGTTACCTGAACAGAAAAATATTTAAAAATGCAAGAAACCTTTGAATTAGAGTAAATAAAAGAATACCGGGTGGGCGGCAGTCACCGCTGTTACCGTACGCACGTCACTTTCTGCAAAATTTGCGGCTCTATATCTCGGTAAGTACTGATGGCAAAAAAATTTTTTTAGGCTTAAAACACTACTAAAAATATTTCCCAACATTTTCATAAGAAAAAATATTTTTTTTTCGAATATTTGGCGACATAGAATGACAGTTTCAGAGAGGGGCCTGAAGCATCAAAGGGTTTTAAAGCCACTAGGACCAGCTTGAGATCACTGGGCTTCTGTCGCACAAATATCTGTCCATGAGGCCTGTACCTCTCGTTCCTTTATGACTTTCCTAAAGTGGTTCACAACATTGTCAGTGTACAGGTTGCCAACACGGCTTGCAGTAGCTGTGTCGGGTGATTTTCTTCAAGCCACTTTGCACACATTTCCTTAATTTCAATGGTCATTAGCACTTTGGTCTCAATGGTTGGGACTAAAGCTTTCTTGGGGCCCATGGGGACTTATTTTGCAGAAACAAGCACCAAAAACAGTCATAATATGGATAATATGGGAAAGTACCGAATGTATCCTTAGATGCACGCACACTGGCTGGCTTGTAAACCTGGCACACACGGGGGAGTTCAGGCCACACGTGGACACGTCTTGTACAATCGTATCACATACCGGGTTTTGTAAAGGGGAAACCCAGGCAAATTTTTTTTGATATAATGCTTCGGATACCGGATTTAAACGGATACCGATGGCTTCGCGAACTGGGGTCCACTGTATTTTCGAAATTGACGATTTTCGAAACCATTTTCCCCTTAAGAAATAATGTAAATACAGTTAAACCGTTCCTGACACCCAGAAGTATTAAAACAAAAAAATTTTTTTACTGGAATATAGACATAGTACATACACAGTACAATGGGACATGATGAATGAAACATTAACAGCATAACACTTACCTTTATTGGCGATTCTTCTTAGTGTATGGAAGACTGGAGGAGGAGAGAGATTGGATTATTTACTGTTTGGAAGGGGAATCCCCTTCCATCAACACCTCAGGTACCAAGTCCTTTTCTGGGGTTACTTCTCTTCTCTGTTTCTTAATGCCACTAGGACCAGCTTGAGTCACTGGAGCCCTGTCTCACAAAAAAATTGTCCAGAGAGCTCTGTTTCTGGCATCTCTTTTAAACTTCCCTAAAATGGGCCGAGACTTTGTCACTGTACAAGTTGCCGATATGGCATGCAACAGCCTTGTCGGGGTGATGTTTCTCCATAAATCTTTCCATCCTACCCCACATTTCAAAAATCTCTTTAGTTTCTAAAGAAGGGCAACTTCTTCCATCTCTCTTTCCTCCTCCTCTGCAGCAGTGTTCTGAGCTGCGGTCTGTTGCTGTTCCAGCTGAAGCTCTTGCAGCTCCTCAGTGGTTAGCTCTTCACTGTGGTCCTCCACCAACTCTTCCACATCCTCCAAACTCACATCCAACCCCATGGAACTCCCCAATACCACAATAGATTCCACAACTGCCATAGGCTCGTCAGGGTCAGCCCCAAACCCTTCAAAATCTCTCTTGTGGATGCAATCTGGCCACAATTTTCTCCAAGCAGAGTTCAAAGTCCTGGCAGTCACTCCCTCCCAAGCCTTACCTATAAGGCTTATGCAATGGAGGATACTGAAGTGATCTTTCCAAAACTGGCACTAGCAGCTTTCTTTGGAGCCATGGTAGCTTATTTAGCAGTTGGCAGCACTAAAATGAATGGAATATTATAAAATATTTAGTATGAACAAGTGAGAGGACCATCACTCACAGGTAAACAATGCCACACTGGCTGGGAAGGGGGTGCGAGGCGGCTAGGAGCCGTGAGTACGCGTCTGGGACGAATGACTATTTGCGAGTCAAACGATGATTCACGAGTCAATGTTTTGATGAAAATAACGTTATGATTTTCGAAAATTATGACTTTCAAGCCTTACAATTATCAAGGGTCCACTGTAATTGTAACAATAATGTCAACCCATTTATGACTGCATACTGGAATGGACAGTGACGTCATTTGTTTACTCTTGAACATCACCAAAGAATCGAACATTTCTGCTACTTTGAGCTCAATTTCAAGGTACTTTTCATCGTGAAACCAATCAAAATCATATCTATTTCAGTTATGTATCTTCCATTCTATCAAATGAGATAAAAAAAGAATGAGAATACAACCATAAAACCATACAAAAAACTGCTAAGGGGCGGCTAATGGCTGAGGAGTGGACTCCGTTATTTATGGTCCAATTTCTTTCATTTTTGGTGTACATTAAGAAGCATCTTTCCATTATACATAGCCCATGTTTCAATAAGATAGTCCAACAAACAACTGAGATCCAATTCCCTAGATCAAGAGCAAGAGCCCCTCACCAGCATCAAGGAACCGCCCTTGAGGCTTGCTCGCATCTGGAATTTTCACTCTGATCTGGAAGCAAAAATTCAACTGAGCAACTGCTCATATCTGGGAAAAAACGCGTGGATGCACTCGTAAGTAGAGGTTCCACTGTATACCAGTAATGTTATAAATGGTGCAAACATGACATTAAAACAATATCAAGGATGGCTGACATAAATCCACTACCAGCATATTATGCTCCTCACTTAGCGATGAATTTGTTTACCGACGTGGTCTTAGGAACGAAACTCTGTTGTAAAGTGAGGAGAGCTGTATTATGAATATGATACACTACATCGTGTTTTTTGGAAATCTCGTATTACAGTGCTTCAGGGAAATCTTAACAAACGATTATTTAAGTGGGATTCGTTATTTATTAAAATTAGTGGTAATGTACAAAAAATTTAGCTTGATACTAAATATGAAAGGGAAAGGACTCTTTTTGTAGTTATATTACAAAAGAAGTTTTTTGCAAAATGTAAAATTACTGAGGGTGTGTAATTTGGGAAAACTAATGCTGCAAACTTGATTTTAAAAAAATATAATAATTTGTTGTACTGTACCTGTCATACTCTGCATCCTATTTCTACTTCACAACTTTTGCTTACTACTGAGATGCCAGTTACATCTTCATTAATTTCTTTAGTCTTGGTGAAAGCCAGGGAAACTATTTTAATTTATTCCTAATATGAGATGTATTTGGGAAAATGTCCAGCATTGTTGGTTGGTATTTGATTGTTCAACAGTAAAGTTTGTAAAGAATTATACTGTATCATTAATAGCTGTAATATCTTCGTCTCCTTGCTTTCAGTGTGGGGAAAAAAAGGTAGCATGCCAGTTAAATGGCATGTAATATTTTATGAAATTTACACATGGTTTTTTCTCATGTTTGTGTGGTAGCCATTGGAGTCTTCTTGTAAGTGTCCCTTTATTCACTAGTTTAGTACTGCCCAATGTAGACACCACCACCACCACCTGATGTACATTTACTTGTGGTATGCTTGTCTATAGTGCTTGGGGCTTTACTGTGTCTTGCAGATTGTTGTCATGGTAGCGTGTACGTACTTCGTGGGTTGCCTCCCTGAAAGCAAAATGAAGAAGAGACTGAACAGCTGTGTATCAGTTTTCTGCTTTGACTTTCTCAGTGGGGCACTCTCTCTGGTGTGTACTTATCACAACAAAGAAAATATTCCCCGGCGAGGTATCTGTGTAGCCAACCACACTACGCCCATTGATGTATTGGTGTTGGCTTGTGATAATACATATGATATGGTATGTCAGTTGTTTCATGTGTTTTCTCTCTTATAGCTCAAGTTTTTCAATAGGCCTCTTTGTTGAGTATTTAAAGTACAGTAATGAGCATTGTTTGTGAATGTTCTGGTTTATTATTGTTAACATATGTGCAGTGCTGCATAGTATTTAGCTTAGTCAAAAAGTTGTACAGTAGAACCCCATATCCAATGAGTCGGTATTCATTGTTTCAGTTATCCATGGTTTACTGTGGCCCAAAAATATCTCTTAATTTTGCATAATACTGGCCCCAAATCACAGAGTAGAGAAGCTGGCAGTTCTTCAAAGCCTAAGAGAAGCCATGAAGTGCTTCTCATCAGTGAAAGTGATAATTCTCAACATATTGTGCATAATTTATCAATTGAACTTCATAATAGGTATGTTTTGGACTTGCATGTAGGGTTTGCTACTATCCACGATTTCGGTATCCATAGCAGGTCCTTGGAATGTATACCCCGCGGATACTGGGGTTCCTACTGTATAAACATTATAAAAAAGTAGTGTGTAGATGTTTGGAAGGTCATCTGAATTGTGATGTCAGCACACTTCTGGTAACACAGGGATTGAATGAATGACAGTGAATGTATTTCTTCCCTTGGGTCACCCTGCTTTGGAGGGAGATGACTATTTAGGTTAAAAAGAAAAATGTATGTGCAAGAGCCAAAGTGCTCTTTTTCAGAAATAGATGCATGCTTATTGTTTGTTTAATACTAAGTTTTCCTCTCTCCTCTCTCATCCAAGTAGAATCACCCACAGAAGAAAAACACATTAGTCATTTGTTCTTTGGATGTCTTTCCAGTAACACAGACAACACAATTCCAGTGATCACCTGATATGCAGACTCTTCACTTATCCTTCTTTGTACAGTCATTGTAAAAAAAAAAAAAAGTAAACATACCAAGGGCAGGGATTGAACTTGTGGTAAGTGAGTGATAAAACTCCAGGCCAGCGCGTAAACCACTGGGCCAGTTGGCTACGATAAGATTCATACAATTAGGTACATTTCTATACACCATAGAGAGGCTAGCACAGGCCCCACTGTAACCACAAATGCAAGTTTTTACAGATGAATCTCCTGCTAGCATGGCCATGATGAACTCTAGCTCTCGACCCCTCAAAGCTGTTGTCAGACTCACGAAATCGTAATAACACGATTGCAGACAAACCATACCATTACCATGTCATTACAATTTCGTGAGTCTGACGACGGCTTTGAGGGGACTAGAGCTAGAGTTCATCACGACCATGCTGGGAGATTCATCTGTAAAATCTTGCATTTGGGGTCACAGTGGGGCCTGTGCTAGCCTCTCCATGGTGTATAGAAATAACCTAGTTGATAAAATCTATTGTAGCCAGCAGGCCTAGTGGCTTACACGCTGGCCTGGATTTTCATGACTCAATCCCCATGATTCAGTCCCCGCCCATGGTATGGTTTGTTTGCAATTGTCATTGCAATTTTGAGAGTTAGTCACTGTACTCTTTTCTTACAGAATTCAAGTCTGGCTACTCAAGTTTCCTTAAACCCCCCTCATTCTATTTTCCCCCCAGAAATTCTGTAGATATGTCATTTTACATACACTACAGCAAAGTTATTTATTTATTGTAAATATCTTCATGTAAGTAGGGTTGTGAAGTTTTCAGAACTTTTCAGTGCTGCCATGCGACTCTCATTGTTAACACTAACACTTCTAACGGTATGTACGGGAAATATGGACTGCACCTGAAAGATACAAGTTGAAAGGGGGCAAGGTTGCCTATGTTAATCTGATTGCTGAGAGATGTAATTTGATACATTTACTCTGAAAATAAAAAAATAATAGAGGACACTGTCATAGGTTTTACTGGCATGTTAATCAAGCTCTGTGTTTACCTATTTCTACTCATGCATTTGTCTGGGTAAATTTACTGCCCTGTTTTTTTTATTTTAAATTATTATTATTATTGTTATTATTATTATTTTTTATTTTTATTATTATTTTATTTTTTAATTTATTATTATTATTTGCCCTGATGGCTTTTTCTTTGTCAGTGGTTGACTTGCTTTGGTGGGCAAAGGCCAAACCCAAAGAATTTACGTGAGAGAAAATAGAGGTTGACTTGTATGCCAGTATTTATGAAAACCCAGGGTGGTAGGAAGGGTGGAATGTCCCACAAAGTGTTGTAGGGAATAGGGAAGGGCTGGAGTGTTAAGGCTGGAGTATGCAGCAGGTATGAGTAAACAGGGCAGATCAAAGTAAGTGGAGAAAAAGTTTTTTTTGGGGATTTGGCATGCTGTTGAAAAGTGAGCAGAGTACCATTTAAGATGATACATGGGGGGGAAAAATCAGTTAGCCTGATTTTTTTGGGAGGTGGGAAGTATAGTGACCACTTTTGAAAGGATGGGCAAGATTGTTGCAGCTCGCATAATTATTTAAATTGTAAGTCTGCACACTTCTGACAAGACAGTTGTTAATTTCGTCTTGTCGGTATTGTATACCATTCTTCTACAAGACAGTTGTTGAATGAATGAAAATTGTTTGCTTCTTTGGGTTGCCCTACTATGGTAACAAATATTGTGGAAACAAAATGATAAATTAAGAAATTTTTGATCCAGGATATTCATACTGGTGTTAATGTTGCAGTTTAAAAACTGTAGTGTAAAGCACCCTTCTGGCAAGACAGTGATGGAGTGAATGATGGTGAAAGTTTTTCTTTTTCGGGCCACCCTGCCTTGGTGGGAAACGCCGTGGTGGGTAATAGAAAAAAAAAAATTAAAAGATATTGCGTAAATAATTTTAAGAGTTTTCTTTAAACTGAAATTGGGTAATTACCTTCTATAAATTCTTGATTAGCTGGGCTGTAGTGGTGGTATGGGCATGTGGGTTACTATCATAAACAGCCAGGTTAACTAGGAAGTCAACAAAGCCTGGCTTGAGGCCAGTCTGTGAGGGCACAAAACTTGAAATGGCAAGGGATCTCACAGGTAAAAACTATAATAAGAATTGTGTGGGAGAGTAGAAAACTTTTTCCCTTTTTATATAGTAACTTGAAATTTCAGATAGAATTTACGAATTACTTTGTGTTGTTAGCTTGTGTCTGTATTTGGCCATAATTAACTTATTTGAGGGTGCAAAATAGCATGTACAGTGATAAAACAAACATATATGGAAATGAATCGAATGAATGTTCTTGGCCATTCTCACCTGTAACACAGATTATTCCCATGTTTTTAATGTAAGTTTACCAACCCAATTTGCTGACATTTCTTATATAGGTGTTTAAAAGTAATCGAGTGCATTTTGAATCCGTGTGAACGTAGTTGCAGGTTGCTTTTTTCTTTAATTTTGTTTCAAAAGTATATTTTCATATTTTGCATGTTAAGCTTTAAGCAAACACCAAAGCTGCAGCCAGTCCTCTTGATCTCTTTCACACATGCTGTATGTGCACACCAGCAGAATAAAACAATGTGAAAGTTAAGACACATGTGCAACATCTGTTATCTTTAATGTACACGTTTCGCCATCTAGGCTTATAATACAGATTAGGACATATAGAAGACATACATAGAACTATATACAAAAGATGAGGTAACAGTCCCTCAGCCTTGGTGTCAGTGTTCACAGCATCATGGTGGAGGAGAATCTGGAGCAAAGGCAAGAAGACTGGCGGTTTATATAGGCCCTCAGTGGATAAGGACGTGTAGCAAAACGAGGGCATAGTCACTGGTAGAACGGGATTCCCCATGGAAGTAGGTCCTTCCCAAAGGGATGGGTTTGTTGTAGCAGCCGTGAAGGTCTAGTAGATGTCCCCTGAACCAAGATACCATGATGTTCAGCATCTGCAAGTATTGGTAAAGCCACTGGATGGCAAAACGTCTACAATAAAGATATCCAGATGTTGCAGATGTGTCTTAACTTTGACATTGTCGGGATTTTATACCTTTCTTGGGACAGAATAAAACAAATGGTCATTTAGAAAAGAATTCCCTGGAAAGATATCTTGACTAATTTTTTTTAATACACTGGACATCACCCACTGTCTTGCCAGAAGGGAACCAATATCCTAATATTTTCTCTTATGCATTTACTGCTGTTTTTTTTTTTTTTTTTTAAAATTGTGTAAAAAATTTGTTGTACCAAAACATTGACAGCTTGCCTAACGTTGCTTTAATAAGCGCAATTTAACCTTGTCTACATAACATAGTTTAGCTTAAATTTGATGGCGAGTCAAATTTAAACTAAATTTGAGCCATTAAGAAAACACATTCACCATTTATTCGATTACCATATTTCCAGAAATATGCTGACATCACTCTCAGGTTACCCTCTGTCTGCACAGTCCCTCATGCCTCCTTCAGAGGGTGGGCACAGCCTTTTCCACCTCCAGGACTCAGATATAGCTATGTGATTTCCCTGAACCCCTACATAAAGGTTACCTTGCTCACATTCACAGAATGTCCTATAAAAAAAACTCGTCTTAAGTCACTATCTAATATGCTCACACAAACCTGCTGGATACTCAAACCCTTAAAACTCAAATCCTCTTCTTATCCCTTCCCTCTAACCATTCCTTGGAAGATCCCTACCTTCCATCCTAAATTTATACACCTTGTTTGTCAACCTATTGTTCTCCATCTTTCCTACATGTCCAGACCACCTTATCTCATCCTTCTGATACTCATTTTCCTTATTTAATTAGTATAAAAGTTCTTCCTACCTCACTTGGTTTTGCTTTAGTTTTGTCAGTCTGTCCATGAATCACTTTTTTTTTTTTTTTTTTTTTTTTTTTTTTTTTTTTTTTTTTTGCTAGGGTGTGTGCACTCTTCGTGAATATCAGCTTCATGAAGGTCAATCCAGATGGCCTTGTATCTGACTTAAGCTGTGTTACACACAGTTTAGATAATTGAGCAACCATGATATGTATATTTATGTACTGTGTGAGAAATGCTTACATGACAAATGTACAACAGGATAAATATTTTTTATGTTGTTGTGTATCTTTATACGTATATGCTTCTAAACTGTTGTATTCTGAGCACCTCTGCAAAAGCAGTGATAATGTGTGAGTGTGGTGAAAGTGTTGAATGATGAAAGTATTTTCTTTTTGGGGATTTTCTTTCTTTTTTGGGTCACCCTGCCTCGGTGGGAGACGACCGACTTGTTGAGAGAGAAAAAAAAAAAAAACTTTCATTTTATTACTAACATTCATTGGTCTTAATCACACTTGTCTGGCTGGCACTGTGGATTACTTGTCTTAATTATTCCTTGGATAGTGAAGACTGGTGTAGAAATTGGGAGATTTTGGGCCTTTCATAAAATAAGTGTTTGTACTAAGAGCTTTATTGCTGCTTCTGTAAATCTCTTGCAAAAGAGATTTGCTGATTGGGTATTGTTTGAGCTGTCATATTGCTGGTGTGTATAAGAGGTAAATGCTTAGTGTTTTCACAAGTATAGTGTATGCAATATTTCAGAGTAATTTTGTATGTTTTTTATTCTTAGTTTTGTGTACAGTTCTCAGAATTTTAGGTAAATTATGCAAAGTTTAGATTGATGAAGAATCTCTCAGGCACTTTCATTCCCCTCTCCTCAGTGTGTGCATACACACACATACACGCATGCACATAAGCACATGCTTGTGTAAGTACATGTTATATACTCGTGTACAGGTTTGTGTGAATAGCAGGCTTAAATTTTAAAACAATATATAAAGGCCCTCATCAAGATAACCATTAACTTTGTACCTGGTACTTGCTACTTTGATTACTGCTTTTCATTCAAGAAAAATTCTTGGTCATCAACTCTATGTATTCTTATTATTCCTCAACTCTGAAGTACTTGTGTATAAATTAATTGTAAATTTCCTTTTTTTTTTTTATTTATTATAACTTTCATTAATAAATTGTAAGTACTGTATTTCATAGGTTGGTCAGAGGCATGGAGGGTTCCTAAGTATATTTCAACGAGCCTTGTCCCGGGCTTCAGCACACATCTGGTTTGAACGTTCGGAAGCCAAAGATCGCTTTGCAGTAGCAAGAAGATTGAGAGAACATGTTGAAGATCCCGATAAACTTCCTATACTAATATTCCCTGAAGGTACTTGCATCAACAACACATCAGTGATGCAGTTTAAAAAAGGAACTTTTGAAGTCGGTGGTATCATATATCCTGTTGCTATCAAGGTGAGTTTTTTTTTTATTATAACCCCTTAACTGTGACAGGTCTTAAGTTTTAATTTCCCTTTTTTGGCAAAATTTTAGGGAAAAATTCTTAGTTTGAAAGCACCTTTTTTCTAAACAGAATTAAAAAAAAAAAAATTATTTTATGGTGGTGAAGTTAATAAAATATCACTTGTTGGCAACACTGCCATGAATGTTTTACAGTTAACCCTTTGAGGGTCGACAGGCCCTCTCCGAGACTTGTTCTCAGGGTCGGCCAAATTTAAAAAAAAAAAAATTATCTTATGAAAAGATAGAGAATCTTTTCCCGATCATAATGACACCAAAAGTTTTAAATTTGATGGAAAACTTGGAGAAATATGCTCTTGCCAGTTTAGCAGTCTCGGCGATGTTTACGCATCGGCGATTTTGCCCACTTTGAGCCCCATTTTCGGCCAATTCCACTGTACTAGTCAACAAAAAACATGGATACTTCACTAGAACTCCATTTTTTTCTATCGAATGAGTGCAAGAAACCACCCATTTATCAGTTTCAACTATCCAGTACAGTGGTCAGAATTTAGCAATTTTGCCAATTTCACACAAATTTCAAAAGATGCCAATTTATGAATAGGGTCCAGAATAAACAAGAAGGACATTCCTGGCACTAAAATGACATTTCCTCTGTTCATTAGTCACATCTCAAGGCCCCTCTTGCATTCTTTTGCTTTCCACTTTGAATTTTTATTCTCATAAAAAATAGAAGATTTACTGTTATGCAGACTACTGCATTAGTGTAAAAAATGGTATAAATAATATTGACGCACTTGCGAAAGAATATTAGACTTGCCAGTTGACGTGTATTGGACACACAGCATGATTTGTTTACTTTTGAACTTTGGTAAAAATCGAACATTTCTGCTACTTTGAGCTCAATTTCAAGGTACTTTTCATTATAAAACCAGTCAAAATCATCTCTATTTCTGTAGTATGTCTTCCATTCTATAAAATGAGACCAAGAAAACTAAAATACAACAATAAATACCATGCAAAAATACAGTGCAAAGTCGCTGTTTTATTCCAAAAAAACGGTCAAAGTTTTTTTTTTCTCATTATGCACTGTGTGCTGCAGGATTTTTTTTATACTGCACACACTGACCACATAGACCCATTCTTTCATATGTAGGCCTACCAGCTTTCTCCCACTAGATTTGAGGGCGCTAGAATTTAGGCGCACTAGTACGTCAAAAACCCTGGGTCGTAAGCCGTACTAGTACGGCCGAAACCCTTTGACTGTCGCGGCCGTATATATACGTCTTACGAGGTACTGTGTTTGACGTATATATACTCATAAATTCTAGCAGCTTCAAATCAAGCAGGAGAAAGCTGGTAGGCCCACGTGTGAGAGAATGGGTCTGTGTGGTCAGTGTGCACCATATAAAAAAAATCCTGGAGCACACAGTGCATAATGAGAAAAAAAAACTGACCGTTTTTTTTAATTAAAATGCCGACTTTGTGGTCTATTTTCGTATAGTATTTGTGGTTGTATTCTCGTTTTCTTGGTCTCATTTGATAGAATGGAAAACATATTATAGAAATAGAGGTGATTTTGATTGATTTTACTATAAAAAGAGCCTAGAAATGGAGCTCAAATTAGGGGAAATGTTTGATTTTTGCCAATGTTCAAAAGTAAACAAATGATGCCATTGTCCAATAAATGTCATGTAGTCATGAATGAGTTGATGTTATTTATACAATTATTACAGTATTTCAGTAGTCTGCATAATAGTAAGTCTTCTATTTTTTGTTTGAATAAAAATTCAAAATGGAAAGCAAGAGCAATATCATAGGGGCCTGGAGACATGACTGATGAACAAAGAAAATGTTATTGTAGAGCCAGGAATGTCTGCATTGTTCATTCTGTACCTTATTTTGAAATTGTCATATTTTTTAGTTTTCGTGAAATTGGCCAAATTTCTGACCACATTATTAGGTAGTTGAAATCGGTAAATGGGCAGTTTCTTGTACTCAATCGATAGAAAAAAAGGGAGTTCTAAAGAAATGGCTATGAGTTTGGTCGACTGGAACAATGGAATTAGCCGAAAATAGGGCTCAAAGTGGGCGAAATCGCCGATTTGTAAACAGCGCCGAGGTTGCTAACTTCGCGAGAGCATAATTCCGTCAGTTTTCCATCAAATTTCGTTTTTTTGGTGTCTTTACAATCGGGAAAAGATTCTCTATCATTTCATAAGAAAAAATAATTTTTTTTTTTTTAAATTTTGCGACACCAGGAGACACCTCAGGATTGGGGGTTGCGACAGTCAAAGGGTTAATTGATAAATAACTAATGACTTGAATGACTAATGACTTTGAATGACTTCGAGAGTGTGTAAATTTGTAGTGGAGGGAAAGTGAGGTAGGGGGTCGGCCTAGGAAAGGTTGGAGGGAGGGGATAAAGGAGGTTTTGTGTGCAAGGGGCTTAGACTTCCAGCGAGCATGTGTGAGCGTGTTAGATAGGAGTGAATGGAGACAAGTGGTTATTAGGACTTGATGTACTGTTGGAGTGTGAGCAAGGTAAGTCCGGCAGGCTGGACTTGAGTCCTGGAGATGGGAAGTACAGTGCCTGCACTCTGAAGGAGGGGTATTAATGTTGCAGTTTTATAACTGTAGCGCAAGTGTGCATCTGACAAGACAGTGACGGAATGAATGATGAAAGTTCTTTTTCGAGCCACTCTACCTTGGTGGGAAACGGCCAATGTGTTAATAATAAAAAAAAAATAGATGCAAAATTATTATTTCTATCCATTTTTTCAATGTTTAACATTGTGTACACTAATTTGTGATTTTTAAATGTGAGCATTAGCATTTTTTTTTTTTTAAACATGCTGGCCATCTCCCACCAAGGCAGGGTGACCAGAAAAAAAAAACTTTCACCATCATTCACATTGTCAGTCTTGCCAGAGGCACACAAATACGATAGCTCAGATGTCCTTCCAAACAGCAGATTTTCCAATCTCATCCTTTAGAGTGCAGGCATTGTACTTCTCACCTTCAAGACTAAGTCCAGCTAGCTGGTTTCCCTGAATTCCTTTCCACAATATTACCTTACTCACACTCCAACAGTTTGTCAGGTTCCACAAACAATTTGTGTCCACTCCTATCTAACATGCTCACACATGCCTGCTGCATGTCCAAGACCCTTGCACACAACCTCTTTTACCTTCTCCCTCCATCCTTTCCTAGGATGACCCCTACCTCACCTTCCCTCCACTACAGACTTATACACCATCCAAGTCATCCCATTTTGCTCCATTCTCTGTAAATGTCCAAACCACCTCAACAACCCCTCAGCTCTCTGGATAATACTTTTAGTAACTCCACACCTCATAATCTCCAAGCTATGAATTCTCTGCATAATATTTATGCCACACATTGCCTTAGACACTACATCTCCACTGCCTGCAACATTCATTTTAATTTTAATTTTAAGTTAATTTTAAGCCTGCCCATAATGCTCTGCATACAAGGGGCTTTTGGCATGTACACCAACTACTATAATTCCTTGTACAACTATGTATCATGTCCAAATAAACTATGAATATATAAATATGAATATATTCACAACCCATGCTTCACACACACATCAGTGTTGGTAGCACTATACACTCATACATTTCCCTCTTTGCCTCCATAGATAATCTGTCTTCACAGATACCTCAGTGCACCACCCATCTTTTTTCTTCATTATTTCTATAGTTGACCTCTTCTTTCATATATTCATCCACCGACACATCCACTTCCAGATATCTGAGCACATTCACTTCCTCCATACTCCCTCCCTCCAATCTGATATCCAATTTTTCATTACCTAACTCATTTGAAACCCTCATCACCTTATGCTCATCTATATTCATTCTCAATTTCCTTCCCATATACACCTTCCCAAACTCGTTGACTAACTTTTGCAACTTCTCGGTATCTCCCAAAAGCACAGTATCAGCAGCAAAAAGCAGCTGTGCCATCTCCCATTTTGTATTAGATTCTGCATATTTTAGTCCCATCCAACACCCTAGCATTCACTTACAGCAGGCATGTTGGATAGGAGTGAATGATGATAAATGGTTTTTGGGACTTGATGAACTGTTGGAGTGTGAGCAAGGTAATATTTTGTGAAGGAATTCAGGGAAACTGGTTAGCCAGACTTGAGTCCTGGAGGTGGGAAATACAATGCCTGCACTCTAAATGAGGGGTAGGGATATTTTCTGTTTAGAGGGACATCTTAACTGTCGTATCTGTGCCCCTCTGGCAAGACGGGGATAGTGTGAATGATGGTGAAAGTTTTTTTCTGGTCACCCTGCCACTGTAGGAGAATGACTGCTGTACTGAGAAAAGAATTACATTAGTCTTCAGGGCACACAGGTGTTATCAGCACATAAAAAGAGCACTATGTAAATTTAACCTAAGATAACCCAAGAAAGTCAGTGTGATATATTGTCCCATATTGTTAGGTATTTTGGTTGAAATCCACTGTTTTCATCAAACTGTAATAAATTTAGAACAAGTTATTCTCTTATATGGGTGTGAAGTATGGGTGGTGAATGTTGAAACAAGGAGATAGCTGGAGGCAGTGGAGATGTGTCTGAAGGCAATGTGTGTTGTGAATATTATGTAGAGAACCTGTATCTTTGAGATTAGAAGGTGCAGTGTTACTAAAAGTATTATCCAGAGGGCTGAGGAGGGGTTGTTGAGGTGGTTTAGTCATTTGGAGAGAATGGAGAAAAATTAGGATGACTTGAAAAGTGAATAAATTTGTAGTGGAAGGAAGGCAGGGTAGGGGTCATCCTATGAAAGGAGTTAAATGGGAGTGAGTGGAGACAAATCGTTTTTGGAACCTGACAGGCTGTTGGAGTGTGAGCAAGGTAATATTTTTGTGATGGGATTCTTAGAAACTGGTTAGCTGGACTTGAGTCAAGGCAGTGGAAGTATAATACCTGCACTCTAAAGGAGGGGTTTGGGATATTTACAGTTTGGAGGGACTTCTGAACTGTCATATCTGTGCCCCTCGGGCAACACAGTGATAGTGCGAATTATAGTGAGTTTCTTTTTCGGGTTACACTGCCTCAGTGGGAGATGGCTAGTGTTAAAAAAAAATTCCCTTGCATTTTCAATAAAAATAGAAGAAAGTGAAGTTTGGGTCCTGCTGTGGTGGCCCTTAACAACCCCTTTCCTGTAATAATGTTGGTAGAATTACCGACAATGTGTAAAGTAAAAGGACACAAGTGCAACTAATGTGACATTTTTATTGTGGCAACGTTTCGCTCTCCAGGAGCTTTGTCAAGCCCCTTTCCTCTCACAAGTCCTTGTTTATCACAAAATGCAAGTGTACCAACTAAAATGATGCACAGGTTTATATGAAGTAGGTATTGTATAATATACTACATTACATCTAGATATCTTTCATTATTTTAACCTTGATTATGCAAAGGAAGCTGAGAGTATATAAACACTGGTGGGAATTGCAAGTCATTTGTTTTCATGGCATATATGTACAGTATCCACAAGGTACTGTATTCATATATTTCATTACCTCATTATAACACTGATTATTCAAATGGAAGGAAAGCAAATGATATACAAATCTTGGAATCCTCTCAGTTTGTATATACAAAAAAACATTGACTCCAGTATCTTCACATTTTAGTACTGATGCAAAGGATATGAAAACACTGCATGTATTAACCGACATACAGGAAATGGCAAATTTAATCGCATTTGTTGGTTTTCCTGAGACTTTTGTGGTGATAAACAATTTGTATATAAATGGGATATACTGTAGTGTGGTACTGTGAACTTCAAATGAAGTTTGCTTACTGTACTTTCCACACTTTAATATCAGTGACTAACACATTCAGCATTTGTGTAAATATAGCTAGGGCAAATGAGTAACTGTTAATGGCACAGCAATATGTAGTTACAGTTACTAGCCCTCTTGTACTGGCTTTTAGCTATTTTTCTCCCGTAATTACACGTCATAAATAAACATCACAGCGTTATGATTGAGAAATTGCCGTACTCGGGAAATTGAAGAAGATGCAGAAGTTTGCAACAACTTACCCAGAGCCAAGGGTTATGTCCTATGAGAGGTTAAGGGAACTTAACCTGATGACACTGGAGGACAGGAGAACTAGGGAGGAGTATAATAACAATGTACAAAATACTGGGAGAAATTGACAAGTTGGCAAGAAACAGAATGTTTCAGAGATGGGAAACGTGAACAATAGGGCACTAGGAATTGAAAACTCAGACGAGTCATAGGGATTTTAGGAAATATTTCGTCAGCCTTAGAGTTTCAGGAAGTGGAAAAATCTGGAGAGTGGAGTGGTAGAGGCAGGATTCATACATAGCTTTAAAGAGGTACAATAGGGTTGTTGAAGCTGGGTGAGAGTGGACTTACTGGCCATTGAAAAGGTGGGTCCAGAAGCTGTGGTTTGACCCCTGCAAGCACATACAGATGAATACTAGAGTGAGAGATAGGGGAGGGAGTGTAAAATAAGTGAAAAGCAGGGACACATGGGCACAGTAAGGGAACACTGCTGGGACAAGTGTAGAAGTCTTCAAGAGGAAACTGGACGAGTATCTTCACTAGGTGCCAGATCAACCAGACTGTGATGGATATGTGGGCTAGCAGGCCACCTGCAGCAACAGCCTGGTTGGCCAGGCAAGCATCAGACAAGCCAGGAGCAAGGCTGGGCTCTGGTAGTGAGAAAACTCTCGGAACTCGTCAAAGGTAAGATGGTGATTGAATGATTGATAGTGAAAGTGTATCTTCTTTTTTGGGTCACCGTACCTTGGTGGAAGATAGCCCATCTGTTAAAATTTTAATAATGATAATAATCTATAGCAAAGTATGCTGTATTGCTTTGCATTTTCTAAGCATGTTACAGGGATGCTACTGTATACATTTTTACTGTAAAAACATTTCCTTTATTTCTGTGCCCTCTGCAACACACTGCATGTGTTACTTGCCTTAAAATATTTCTTAAAAATTAGTGCAATTGGTAAAATTTTGAGGCCCAGATCCAATTAAAAAATTGCTTTTGCAGTGCTTTCTTATATCACCCTCAAATGAGAGTATTTGTGATAAGTTAAAAAAAAAAAAATGCCTTAACCCTTAAACTGTCCAAACATAGATCTGCCTTAACATGCGTAGTGCTCTGATTATAGATCTACGGGTTTTTATTTTTACATAAAGCATGTAAAATCGGACGTAGACCTATGTCCGGAGCGGTACGCACAGGGTAGATCTACACTTGGACAGTTTAAGGGTTAAACAAGCATCTGATAAATGGGTCTAAATTATTTACAGTATCAGTAGTTATGATATGAAGCCTAGGCTTCTCATGCAGCACTGCCAGAGTACAACTTGAGATATTTCATTTCTGGAAAAAGTATTGTAATATGTAGCTCATGTCATTTCAGTATGATCCCAGATTTGGGGATGCATTCTGGAATTCTTCCAAGGATTCGATGGTCAGCTACATCTACATGATGATGACATCCTGGGCCATTGTGTGTGATGTTTGGTATCTGCCGCCAATGACAAAAAGGGAAGATGAAAGTTCAATCGACTTCGCTAATCGTGTTAAAGCTAATATTGCTCGCCAGGGAGGTCTTGTTGACCTAGTATGGTAAGCATATTTTTGTTCCATACAAATTTTTTTTTGAATTTACATACTGGTAAAGATATCTGTTAAATTTGAAATCTTTATTACATTTGGCAGAGAATAAAGTACAGCCTCTCTTCACTTACTGACGGAGTTCTGTTCCTAAGACCATGTCGGTAAACGAATTCATCGCTAACTGAGGAGCATACTACATGTATAATGGTAGTGGATTTGTAATAATAATATCTTTATTTCTACAAGTACATGTACAAGGTATACTGGCCTAGCTGACATCAGTGACGTACTACTATATAGAAAGCTGCTTGTTATGCAGAGCATTTTGGGCAAATTAGGTCAGTTTTGTTCCAGGATGCAACCCACACCAGTCGACTAACACCCAGGTACCCATTTTATACTGATGGGTGAACAGGAACAGCAGGTGTCTTGTGGAAACACTTCCTAATGTTTTCCAGCTGTACCGGAGATTCGAACTCCTGCCCTCAGTGTGCGAGCTGAGTGCGCTAGCGATTGAGCCATCTTTGATATTGTTTTAATGTCCTCTGATATACCTTTGAAGAATTTCGCGAGTATATCTACTCTCTGAGCCCGGCCATGGGCTCGTCTGGTGCTCGCCTGGTCAACCAGGCTGTTGCTGCTGGAGGCCTGCTGCCCCACATATCCATCACAGCCTGGTTGATCTGGCACCTGGTGAAGATACTTTGCACCATTTGTAACAGTTTTGTTATATTTTTAAATGTGTATACAGTAGTGTACTGTACAGTGGACCCCCGCATAGCGACCTTAATCCGTGCAAGAGGGCTGGCTGTTATGCGAAATGTTCGCTATGTGAATGAATTTTCCCCATAAGAAATAATGGAAATCAAATTAATCCGTGCAAGACACCCAAAAGTTTGAAAAAAAAAATTTTACCACATGAAATATACATTTTCCTACACACAAAGAGAAGGATACATGCACAATAGTAGAGTAGTACATGCACAATATATATTGTGCATGTACTACTCTACTAAATGAAGAATAAATGACACTTACCTTTATTGAAGATGCAGCAATGACTGATGAGACACTGTGTCCTGGGAGTGCCTTTTCTTCCTGAGTACTGTAGGTCCTGTTTGGCATTTTCTTCCAGAACAGGCCTTATCACACTGTGTATGCCACTACGATTCTTAAATCTCTCAAACCAACCTTTGCTGGCTCTAAATTCACCAATATGAGCACTAGTTCCAGGCATTTTCCCTGTTCACCTGGGTGTTAGTCGACTGGTGTGGGTTGCATCCTGGGAGACAAGATTAAGGACCCCAATGGAAATAAGTTAGACAGTCTTCGATGACACTGACTTTTTTGGGCTATCCTGGGTGGCAAATCCTCTGGGGTTAATTGTTTCTTGGTATTCTCAATAAGCCACACCAACAACGGTGCTACAGCAGCAGCAGCTGACGATGTTACAGCAGCAGCAGACGATGCTACAGCAGCAGCAGCAGCAGACGATGCTACAGCAGCAACAGACGATGCTACAGCAGCAGCAGACGATGCTACAGCAGCAACTGACGATGTTACAGCAGCAGCAGACGATGCTACAGCAGCAGCAGCAGCAGACGATGCTACAGCAGCAGCAGCAGCTGACGGTGGTACAGCAGCAACAGACGATGCTACAGCAGCAACAGACGATGCTACAGCAGCAGCAGACGATGCTACAGCAGCAGCAGATGATGCTACAGCAGCAGCAGACGGTACTACAGCAGCAGGAGCAGCTGACGGTGGTACAGCAGCAGCAGCTGACAGTGCAGCAGCAGCTGACGGTGATACAGCAGCAGCAGCAGCTGTACCACCAATAGTAGCAATGGTTGATTGGGGTTTATTATACAACCTGGCCAGCTCGGAGACACGCACTCCACTTTCATACTTATCAATGATCTTTTTCTTCATCTCCATAGTAATTCTCACCCTTATTGCTGTAGGGTTGGCACTAGAAGCTTTCTTGGGGCCCATGGTCACTTATTTTCCAGAAAAAAATCACCAAAAACACTGTAATAATACAAAATGTTCCGATTGTATGCTTGGATGTTACCGCGGAGGCTGGCTGGTAAACAATGCCACCCGCGGAACATGTGAGCATGGCTCAGGCCGCACATTGGACGCGTCTCGGACGAAGGCCGCTGAGCGGGTTTTTGGGCGCTATGCGGGGCAAAATTTTAGCGATCAAAGCGTCTGCTATGCGGATTGTCCGCTATGCAAGGCGTCCGTTATGCGGGGGTCCACTGTATATTGTAATAAACAGAATAGAGGGAATCAGCTCTAATATACATTATTTAGGTATGCTTACTGGTCAGAGAGCCCGTCATAAGTCCGAGTTGTTGATAAACGAGTACGCTGCTAAGTGAGGAGAGGCTGTATTAACTGTTTTCACCACATTGTGCAACACCCAATTGGTTCTTAACGCACATCATTTCTGGATGAAAAAATGTAACTGCTCATCTTAGATCTTGTGTTACTTTTCTTATAAGAAAAGATCATATAGTTTCTCTATTTGGAATTTATTTTCCTTAAATATATAATTAGATAAAATTTTGTTGATTTTTTGGTAATGTATGAAAGTATTTTGACCTAGGTATGTTAAATGTAGCCAGAAGTATTTTTAACATAAAATTCTTGCATTGTAACATAATCGCTTAATTTTTATTTATAAAAATTCATATTTTAAGACATTTTCAGTGATTCATGGTTTTTATTGCATGTGCATTGTGGGTAAAAAAAAAATTGTACAACTTTTATGTATCAGATTCTTCCATCTGCATTGCTACCTACCAAGATCATGCTCACAAAAATAATTAATTGTACTTAGTAGTATTCCATCATACTTCTTAGGTGAACTGATTAGTAGTTTCACTATTCTAAATACTGTATATATTACATGTATATGCAACGACTGTTATGTCAGTTATCCATGTGTTATAGTATCCATTTCTCACATGTATGGCCATTTCCCACCAAGATAGGATTATTTTATCGCATTAATTTCGTATAGGCACATGCAGCACCTAGGCAGCCTCATTGTTGAGACGTTTTGCCAGTCATTGGCTTTTTCAGTTACTAGAAACAGTGGAAGAAGTAAAGCAATTTTAAGATGTTTGGCCTTGATAGGTGTTTAGTCCATTAACTTTAATGAATAATATTCATTAAGCTACGGGACTGTACACTTTTCAAAGTTGCTGGACGTTCATAAACACAATACAGCCTCTCCTCACTTAGCGACGTACTCATTTATGAACCACTCGGACTTACGACCAGCTCTCCAACCAGTATGTAAATTTCCTCTATTCTGTTTATTACAGTATACAGTACACTACTGTATAAACATTTAAAAATATAGTAGAAATGTTATAATTGGGGGCTCTGGTGGCCTGGTGGTTAACGCTCTTGCTTCACACGGTGAGGGCTTGGGTTCGATTCCCAGCCAGAGTAGAAACATTGGACGTGTTTCTTTCCACCTGTTGTCTATGTTCCCCATCAGTAAAATGGGTACCTGGGTGTTAGTCGACTGGTGTGGGTCGCATCCTGGGACACTGACCTAAGGAGGCCTGGTCACAGACCGGGCTGTGGGGGCGTTGACCCCCGGAACTCTCTCCAGGTAAACTCCAGGTGCAAAGGTGACTAAAAAATATCTAAAGATGGTTGACAAACTCACTACCAGTATAGTATGCTCCTCGCTTAACGACCAATTCGCTTACCAACCTACTCTTGGGAACAGAGCCCCATTGTTAAGTGAAGAGAGGCTGTACTTTTTCTTCTGACTCCAGTAATCATTCTCTAGTGAATTGAAAAATGCTGCTGGTTGGTGAAGTCTTATCAATAAAGATATCCAGGTGTTGTATATGTTCTGTTCGTCAGGACTTTTTTGTTATAAAAATGTAACTGATAAAAATAAATAAAGGTAGGGAAGTTTTCATTGCATTTATAGATTTAGAAAAGTCGTACGATAGTGGATGGGGGAGTAATGTGCCAGATGTTGCAAGTATGTATATGGAATAGGTAGTAAGTTACTAAATGCTGGAAAGTTTTTATGAGGATAGACTCAGGTTAGGGTGTGTAGAAGAAAGGGAGATTACTTCCCAGTAAAAGTAGGTATTACACAGGGATGTGTAATGTCACCATAGTTGTTTAATATATTTATTGATGGGGTTGTAAAAGAAGTAAATGCTAGGGTGTTGGGGAGAGGGGTGAGATTAAATTATGAGGAATCAAGTACAAAATGGGAGCTGACAGTTACTTTTTGCTGATGATACTGTGTTTATGGGAGATTCTAAAGAAAAGTTGCAAAGGTTAGTGGATGACTTCGGGATTGTTTGTAAAGGTAGAAAGTTGAAAGTGAGTAACATAAATAACAAAAAAAGGCACAATACTGTGACTGGAACGATACACAAATAACCCGCACATAAAAGAGAGAAGCTTACGATGACGTTTCGGTCCGACTTTGGCTAGTGTGACTTTGTAAATGGTCCAAGTCGGACCGAAACGTCGTCGTAAGCTTCTCTCTTTTATGTGCAGGTTATTTGTGTATTGAAAGTGAGAATACATAAGAGTAAGGTGATGAGGGTATCAAATGATTTAGATGAAGAAAAATTGAATATCACATTGGAGAGAGAGAGTATGGAAGAAGTCAATGTTTTCAGATACATTGGGCCCTCAGTTAACGATGCCATTGGATAGTGATGTGTTTTTGCATCAAAATACGTATTGGCTCGGCTAACGATAAAAAAACTCTGCTAAGGACATTCGTCCAGAACGTGTCCATGCGGCCTGGGCCGCCCGCCCACTATGTACAGCCAGTGTGCCATTGTTTACAAGCCAGGGCGGACAATTCCACGTGTACATGCGATACATTTTGTATTATTCCATTATTTTTAGTGCTTGTAACTGCTAAATAAGCCACCATGGGCCCAAAAAAAGCTTCTAGTGCCAACCCTGTGGAAAAAAGGGTGAAAAATACTATTGAATTGAAGAAG